CAATGTTTTTTCTCCCTTTCTTTGTCGTTGTATGGTTTTATATTACTAACTCGCAGCAGTGTTAATGGCGCACCTATGTGCAATAAATAAATAAAAGTATAGTCGACAATATCATTTTCAACCAAGCCATTAAAACCTCTACCGCAAAAATCCCAAGCGAACACTTGTCTACGTTGGAATGAATTCTAAGAACCGACATGTAAGGAGAACCATGAGCGGAAAGTGTAAACCACGATCCCCACTCCGAGAACCCCACTAAGTAGGCATCATGGTATTAACTCAAGGCGATCTGACTATAGGAGGATTTACAAACAATAAAGACAGGTGAATACTAACATCCGAATCCTATTTTTGTGAGCAAACGCGAATTTTGTGTGATCGACATTCCGTTGTAATCTAAGACTCCCAATACATGAGCCGTATCCCTTCTTCCCACAGGCTAGGAAAAAAGAGGACCTTCAAATTTATTTGTTTTCAACGACACTGTTCCCTTAGTTTCCGCACTTGTTCGCTTTTACACACATAGACACATTACAAATATGCAGTTTTCACAGTTTTTCAATGTGATTTTTGTTAGGCAGACAATTTGAAGTGGTCTTTTGTTCGCCTAGCTTGGGGGAACGTTAGGTCACCTCATGTGATAACTGGAATTTTTCAGGTGGGCGTCATCGACGAGGGCAAAAAGTATAAAGCCTTAGTCAAGACATGCAACCGAAGGTTCGAAGGGTCTTACCCAAGTCCTGCTTTTGACAAACATTTCTCAAAGTTTGTCAAATGCAGGAGTTTGCATCAAAAGAGTGTTTTCCTAGTGTTACCAAACACTGTCATTGACTTTTTAAAGTTGCCTGTCTTCCTAGCCAAAGTTACCCTTTTTTGGAACTGATAAACAGAGCGAGCACGCATTCGACCAGTTAGTTCGCTTGTACCTTACAGTGTTAATGTTCCAAGGCATTTACTGGTCTTCTTGAAGACCAATGATCAACAGTTACCAAGAATGTTGATTTCTGCCATCTGAATACCCATTTTTATGAACTAAGGCTGGTGTCAGAGTCCGCGATCCGTCGCAGGTTTCGCTGATTTTCGCGATTTGCGCGATTTGCGCGATTCACGCGATTTGCGCGATTTGCGCGAAACCTGCGACGGATCGCAAAAATTGCAAGTGTGTGAACATTTGAAACACTGAATATGAAACAAGTGGAATCATGAGCAGTCGTCATTCAGCCATCACTATCAAGCAGAAGTGGCGGCAGGATTGGAGAACACCTTGCAGTATTGATCGGGCACTTGTGATTTCCGTGACCCGTCGCGTGAATCGCGCAAATCGCGAAATCGCGAAAACCGACAGCCGTCGCGTGACCCGTCGCGTGAATCGCGCAAATCGCGAAATCGGAAAACCGACAGCGAAACCTGCGACGGATCGCGGACTCTGACACCAGCCTAGCTCTGAACACAGCTAGAATAATGAGGAAAGCACCATTGTAGTGCAGAAAAAGCACTTTCTTATAGCATAAATATATCTACTTTGAAGCAAACAGCTACGATACTAAGCACCAATATTTCAAGCTCTCAGAGAAGAATAAGAACATTTTTTGACGAAAAAAAAACTGCAAAATCCTAAAATTAGAGATGGCCAAGCACGTCCCAGGCAACGCCAGAATAGAACTTATTTCGAATCCTATGACAATTTAGCAACCGAACGCTCTTTCAACCACATATGAAGATCTTAAAGTTAAGGTTACATCGCTAGCAGCTCTTGCACCCAAAGTCCGCTTAGCAAAGCCGTGACCCACTCCTTACACTGAAGTACTATCAGTGACGCCCTTTGTAAGCATTAAAAGAAGAAGCAGTCGGTGTTGGTCAATCCATTCCGGGAAAACGTCACACGCTCCACTTCTATTCAGAATCGCAGTGACATTTTGAATACGATTTGAAATGCACTATGCTTGCGAAGGCCAGCCGATATACAAGTCTACGTTTCCGTCCTCCTAAATGAGTCTGTCAGCACACCTCGGATGGATCCGAGGAGTTCGCTGGCCAGGGCGGTGTATGTTTCGGAATACGAGCCAGTGATCGCAAAAGTTGGAGGCAGTGTCACCTCCGACTCTAACACTTCCGTTTGAGCCCACCCAAAATGTTTAATTAATCAAGCAGGAGTTCATGACAGAGAAAAAAGAAAAAATGATCTTTATAATAACAGTTATTCCAAAAAGTCTTGAAACACAACTCCTTTTCCAATCATTTTGGATCGAGAAGGCAATTTAATTCACCTTCATAAAGAGCTGAAAGTTTCAAAGTAAGTTGCAGCTGTGATAACTATACTCAAATGATAAAAACTAGGGATCGAAAATGTAATTTATGTTCATTTCTACACCCCATTAAAAACGCTAAACAAAATAAAAAAGCCACATAGTTTTAAAGAAACCTTGAGAAGGAAGTGATAAATAAAGTTCACATATGCCTTGTAATGCCAAAATGCCAACAGAAATCACGAACCCATGCTGTGTCCGTAATCCATATTTGTGGTGGCCGACGCAGCTTGTATCGGGAATTGATAACTTGGAGGTTGCTGAGGCTGGTGCCCTATTGGCTGTTGCTGATAATACATTTGAGATGAAGTTGCTCCAGCCTGAACATGAACCTTTGGAACGAAGTGAAGTTACTGTCGAGCGTCCCATCACATAAAAATGCGTCATCCGATCACGGTATTGATGCTTGGAGATACGGCGGATCTCGAAAAGTCTTCGTAGCGGAGGTTTTGAGAGCCTGTCATTCCAAGCATTAACACCACTTACGATAAAAGTCCCTTTAATGAGGAATTCATGGAACCTAACAATGAAGCAAGCTCCGAGTGATCAATGAGATCGAAGACCTCAACTTCCACAGATAAGGCAAAAAATTAAGAATACATAAAGGAGACAAAGTGTCTACCGAAATAAGCCTGGATAAAATACGATAGAGGGTTTCCACATGATATATGCACGATACTCTAACATGTTTAGCAATTGATGCACATCAAAGCAATCATCAAATAGTAGAAACAAAAACATCAAATTTTCGATTAAAAAAACATAAAAACTTGACATAAAATTGACCTGCGCAGAGTACGGAACATACTGATGAGTAGGTTGAGCAGCGGACGCCTGTGGTCGAGCCTGCTGATAGTAATCCATGAGTGAAACGGGAACTAAATACACCTGCAGACCAAAACCACTCGGTGCCTAAGAATTGCGTCCCACCTGCAATATACAGTACAACCGATATGTGCGAAAGACTAATTTCACACACAAAAGAAACGTTATGTGGTGAATCTACGCCCAAATTCAGTTAGCAGTTCATAAGCGAATGCCGTCTAAAAATGTGAACTCATCAAAATAGTAACACAATGTATACTTTTGGCTCACTGATGGTTCTCTCATCGTCAGAGCCGTACATTAAAAAAAAACGAATAGAAACTCGATGAGGATAGCGAAAAATGAATGCTTATGCGATGATCGCCATCTCATCGAAATTCGCGCGAGAAATGTGCAGAAATCGAAGGACTGCTTAATGTGTGCACGCTATAATGCACACGCGACGACAGAGGCGATCGTGGACGCAAGTACTCTCAACACAAACAGCGTAACAATCGATACATGTAGTGGAGTTCAGAGTGCTGCTGCTAAGCTGAAGAGCACAAGTCCAGGCTGAAGAAGGTGGTGGTCGCGGGGAAGCTAGACGAGGTGGTGCAGGCGAGCGAGAGATCGATACCCTGACCACACGGCCGGTGGTCGGTCGCGCTCGTCAGCTTCGCATGATCAGCAGCGGCACGACGACGAGGGCAACCCCGCAACTGCTGACTCATCTACACACCCGGGTCCACATCGACCTAAACCGAGAACTCCTACGCAAGGTCATCCTGGCGGCGCGGGTGGAGCTTGCAAAAGGCTAAATGTGGCTGTACTCCTTTCCGTCTCAGGTGTTCGTAGCATTAAAAACACCTAGGCGGATCGATAGCTGGCAGTGAGCCAGGCAGAGCGCTAGAACGACTCGCCTCTGCCACTGAGGATCAACGCCAGGCGGCGCTGTGCTCTCTCCTCCGAGTGTAGAACAACCGAAGGGGTCCAGGCATTTTGAAGGATTATATCTCTCTTGAGGGTATTCATTTTATAAAAAAAGTGCGATCAGTTGAGCATTAGATTCTCTCAGAAAGATTATACTCATATGCATAGCAGTGGTAAAGTGGGTAAGCCAAGCAATTTGTACAATCCGCAAGCTAAGGACAAATCATTGCAAGACATTCTAACGAAACGTTTAACAGGTGAACCATGAGTTCTGCTCTGCTCCAAAGCTATTAGTCTTTTCTTGAGACATTGAGCAGAATCTACCACGATGAAAACATACAAAGTTTTACCGTTTAAGGAAAATATGCACTCTATTCAGACCTATACACTTCAGAAATAAGGAAGCCGTTCCATAATACCAAATGAACAGAAATAAACATGTCGAACCAATATAACACATATAATAGTATAACAAGCAGTAGCGCTAAGAAATGGTAGCAATTGCCGAACCGGTTGGCGCGAATGTGCCAGCTGGGTACTCGCGAAAACATTTTGCCGACACCTTTCACGAGTAACAAAACACCAGAGCAGACATCGTATAACGAAAAATCACGCCACAAAGTTTGTACTGTCCGTAGGAAGTAATGGTATCATGAAAGGAAGCTACGAGAAAGCAGTAAGTATCGTGGCAACTGTAAGCGCTGTTAGGATTCAAGCGAGATTCAAACCGTCTTCTATTTGAAATTTTCACCAAAAGATTTTTGCCTTTCAAGTAGAATTCCGCTCAAACTGATTGGAAACTGATCGATAACGTGATGTCTGAAGATCCAAGTATGTATCGAACCGCAACATTGATTACAAAGTCAAGTGAAAACAGCCGATTAGAGGAATTTTGACAGAGCACTCAAGAACCGCACGAGACAATGACCATGTAAGATTTTCTCAAAGTGTAATATGCATCCTTACAGTTCATGTAGAAAAAAAAAAGAGCAAGACAAAGAGTACAAGAAGCAGGACCGATTTGCATTTCCATAAAAACGGTCCACATCGACCTAAACCGAGAACTCCTACGCAAGGTCATCCTAGCGGCGCGGGTGGAGCTTGCAAAAGGCTAAATGTGGCTCTACTCTTTCCGTCTCAGGTGTTCGTAGCATTAAAAACACCTAGGCGGATCGATAGCTGG